CTTCTCATGTAAATGGAATCATGCAATAAGTGGTCCTTTGCAGCTGGCTTCTTTCACTTAGCACAATGCTGTCCAAGTTCGTTCACATTGTAGCATGTATTGGTATTTAATTCCTTTTTTTTGCTGAATAATATTTCATTGTAAGCTCATACTACGTTTTATTTAGCCATTCATCAATGGATGTTTGGGTTGTTGGTCATTTTTTGGATGTTATGAATAATGCCAGTAGAAACAGAGGTGTACACGGTTTTTGTGTGGAGATATGTTTTCATTTCTCTTAAGTATATGCCCAGGAATGAAATTGCTGGATCCTGTTGTCCTATTTTGGGGAACTTCCAGACTGTCTTCCCAAGTGGTGGCACTTACCAGCAATGTGTGAGGGTTCTGATTTCTCCATTTCCTTACTAACAGTTGTTAAGACTGTATAATCTGTTATTATCAGTCTTTTTGTGGATGTGAGTGGTATCTCACTGTGGTTTTGATTTTCATTTCCCTGATGACTGATGACTTTGAGCACTTTTTTCCTGTGCTTTAGTTGGCCATTTGCATATCTTTTTTAGAGAGATGTCTATTCAGATCCTTCCCTCACGTTTAACTGGATTACCTTTTAATTACTGAAGTATAAGAGTTCTTTAAATACCCTGGATACAAGTCTCATCAGATATATCACTTACAAATATTTTCTTCCATTTGGTGGCCTGTATTTTGACTTTATTGATGGTGTCCTTTGCCTCACAGAAGTTTTTAATTTTGAAGAGATTCAGTTTACCTATTTCTTTCTTTTGTTGCTTGTACTTTTGGTACGAGGGCCAAGACAAATTTCGACTAATTAAAAAATCTGCCTTTTCAAATTCTTAGTAGAAGCAGTAGTAACAGAAGTTCATATTTTTTTAAAAAAGAAATTTCTCTCTTTTCTTCTTCTTTTTTTCTTTTTCTTTTGGGTTTTTTTGGGGAGCTTTTTTATTTTTTAATTTTTTGGTGGGAGAGGTAATTAGATTTATTTATTTGTTAATGGAAGTACTGGGGATTGAACCCAAGACCCTGTGCATGCTAAGCATGTGCTCTACCACTGAGCTATACTCTCCCCCTCCACGAGTGCATTTTAAAGTGATTTTTGGGTATATAAACTTAATAGTATTTGATAAATTACCCATCCTCCCAACATATCTGACACCTTGTCCTTGTGTAATTATACATCCTTTAGTGCCTTAAAAGGAAAGTAAAAGGTACCCAAAGCATCATGAGATTTTTATTACCATAGATAAAGCTTGGCACTTCCAATATTTATTTAATCAACAAATATTTATTGAGCATCTACATTGGTATTATTTTAAACATTTGGAGTATCACAGTGAAAAAGGGTTTGGTGTCTTTAAATGCCCTGAAGAAGTTGAAATGCTGGTTTCCTGGAACCCTTCATACCACAACATATCACAGTTGGCAGGAAAAAAAGGGCTGCCTCTTGACTCCTCTGTGAGTTGGTGCCCTCGCCCTTATTATGATATTACATATCCCAGATGGTCCCTGCAGAATGTTTGCTCCTGTGCCAAGGTACAACAGGGATGCATTAGCACCTTAACTCTGGGTTTGTTTTGTGGTTTTCTTTGGAAACCCTCGCATCATTTAAATGCAATTTTTTCAATTTGGCTCTGTTTACAGAACTGTAATAAGATATTTCTCTATTAATAACAGGAAGGGGAAACTTGCTTGTTTAGGGTTTTGGAAAACTCCTGCACATTTTTCTTACATGTATTTGGTGACATGGATTACAGAGATTTGCAGATTTCTTTTTCTTAATTTGCCTAAATGAATTTCAAGGGAAAATTTGTTGAACCATATGTTTTTCAAACAAAATAGAAACTCTTACTCAGTATCAATAAAAGATAATTTTAAAAGTCACTTCTATCAAGGAATGTTACAAAGCTTCAGTAGTCCCTTGCCCTAGGAGAGATTGGCTAAGAATGAATGGACACCATGGTGGGTCTATTGTAGCTTCTGCTCATTTTGTTTTTCTGAATCTGATGACATTGGTGTATGGAGAAGAGAGAAAACAGAAATTGTATCTATTTAAATGTTTGCTGTGTCTTCAGTTTTACCTTGGGAAGGTAAGGTGCGGAGATAGAAATATAAAAATTTAGAGCTGAAAGTTCCCAAAGGATCAAGTAGGAGAGTTGTGTGTGGAGAAGCAAGTGACCAAAAGAGATAACAATTTTGACCCACCTACGAGCTTCTGAAAAGGTATTCAGAAAATTTAGTAATAGCCTCCACCAATGACATTAAACACTTTCAGCTTCCTAGTCTGTCTTCATGGTTTTCCCTCATTCCCTGTGAATATCCTTCTAGCCTACATTCTCATTTTTCAAGGACTAACTCAAATCTTTCGTCAGTGAAGCCTTTCCCAACATCCCTTCTTTCCATCGTCCCGGCTAAGGAGGCCTGGCTGCCCTGGC